GCAGCTACTCAAACAGAAAAAGGGGGAGGGGGTGAGTTGGCATGATTGCTTGAATAAAGCATTACATGTGCTTAATTTCACGTGACTTTTCAATAACAAGGGCTACCCTCCGATGGTAGAGGATGTCAGACTATGACAGGAAGTCTTGTAGAGGTTAAGGATGAAGTGAGAGTATTGATATGGGATGCAATGACAGGTCAATGGACAAGTCCTTTCACACTGTTTACTTGGGTTTGAGGTTATGCTTGCATGTCCACAGGCACTGGACCGTAATGGGTGCCAGCAAAATGGGTGAAACCATAATTACAGCAATTATCATCTTCACTTGCGCATATACTGCCTTGATGGCCTTTTGGGTATTTGCACAGCCAAAACAAAATGTGTGGGTTACCTTGGCCAACTCAACGGGATAAGAGTTGATCTGCTTATCAACTGCATGACCAGACAACTCATTTTCAACATGTTTGGTGGAATAACCCTTGGACAACTGGCTTATCCCAAATGTTGCTTTCGAGATAACATCTAACACAAGCAATGTACTTGATAGAACTACATCATCCCACAGCTGGTAGTGGTATTGGGGATGCCTCTGCTCAGGTGCAAGATCTTGCACTTGGATTTGTTGAACCTCATAAAGTTCACCTGGGCCCACTGCTCAATGCTGTCTAGGTCCTTCGGGATGGCATCCCATTCCTCTGGTGTGTCAGCTGCATCCCACAGCCCAGTGCCATCCACAAGCTTGCTGAGGATGCATGCAACCCCACTGTCAATGTCATGAGTGAAGATATTAAAAATTATCAGACCCAGTAACAACCCCTGGGAACACCTCTCATCTCCAGTTTCCATCTAGACATTGAGCCATTGACCAACATTCTCTGGACCCAATCCTACAGCCAATTCTTCATTCGTTGAACAGTCCACCTATGAAATCCACATCTTGCCAATTTGGAGAGAAGGATGTTGTGAGATACGGTGTCAGAGGCCTTACTGAAATCAAGATAGATAACATCAGTGGCTCTTCCCTTGTTCATGGATGCAGTGACACAATTATAGAAGGCTGCTAAGATTGGTCAAGAGAATTTCCCTTGGTGAAGTCAGGTTGGTTTTTCCATATCACCTTCCTGCCTTCCATGTGCCTTAGCATAGCTTCCAGGAAGATTGCTTCTTGATCTTCTCCAGTACAGAGATGAAACTGACAGGTCAGTAGTACCCAGGGTCATCCCAGTGGGGATGTAGCTTCCAAAATCCCCTCCTACAAAACCAGAAGTTTGAGGTCTATGGGCAAGCAGTTGTCAGACAAGACCGAGGTAGAAGTGTTGAGTACCTCAGCCTTCTCCTTGTCTGTTGTTAGCGGCCTGCCTGTGTCACTCACTAGGGGGGTACACCCTCCTGGAATTTCTTTTTCCGATTGAGGTACCTGTAGAAGCCTTACTTGTTCTTTATGGCATCCCCTGTGAAGTTCAGTTCAAGCTGGGCCATGGCTTTCCTGAGCCCATCCATATGCAACCTAGCAGCTTCCTTGTACTCTTCCCACGTATCCCTGTTTCTACTGCCAATGCATTTACTTCTTGGTCTTCAGTTTGACCAGCAGGCATCAGTTCAGCCATGCCAGTCTCTTGCCTTCCTTTCCCAACTTACTACACTTGGGAATAGAAAGCTATTGCACACTGAGTTAAACCCTCCTTAAAGATTTGCCAGCGTGAACTCGACTCATGGTCACAACAGCCCAGGCTACCTCCAGTCCTGATGTCACCAACCAGTTCATTGACATTGGTGAGGCACAGGTCCAGTATTGCATCTCCCCTGGTAGGGCTGTTATTACTTGCCTCAGAAAGTTATCCTGAGTGCTTCTCAGGAGCCTCCTGAATTTCCTACAACTCGCCATGCAGTTTTTGTAGCAGATGTCCAGGTGGTTGAAGTCCCCCAGCAAGATGAGTGCTTGCAATTGGAACACCTCCTGTAGCTGGAGGTAGAATCAACAGGCTTGATTGATCAGGTGGCCTGTAGTAGACACAGATCACAAGACTCCCTTTGCTGCCTTGGTCTCTAGCTGTCATCCATATGACTGTTCTTTAGGGCCAGCTCTTCACATTCTATTCCTTTCCTGATGTAGGTAGCAACACCTGCTCCCTTCTCACCTGTGCCTTCTGAACAGCTTGTAGCCATCAATATGCACACTCTAGTCATGGGAATCATCCCACCATATTTCAGTGACAGCAGCTGTATCATGGTTTTACAGGAGCACAGCAGCTTCCATCTCTTCCTGTTTGTTTCCCAAGCTGCGTGTATAGGTGTAGAAGCACTTCAGCTGAATAGCTGTTCCTCTCACTTCCTTAAAGTATAACTCCATAACTCATTTTAGGTATTTCCCTTGATTTTCCCCATTGCCTTTTCCTGTTGCCCCAGCAATCACTGCCTCACCATCATAGAGGTTTGTATGTGCTGCAGTGCTGCCAGCACCTCTCAAGGCAATAGGTCCTTCAAGACCCCAGCTAGCACCCTTTTCCTCTAATATAGTTATGCCATCCCACACCTCACCAAGGGAAGGCTCACTATTCCCCCCACTCCTCCTTACAGCCCTCCCAATGAGCCCCGCTGCCTTTTCCCCAGGGACTCTCCTACCCCTTTGAGAAAGATGAGCTCCATGTGGTGCCCTCAAACCTGGTACCATGTAGGCTAATTGGCTGTCAAAAAAATCAAAGTTATGGTGACAGCACCAGCCACAAAGCTAGGTATTTAACAATAAGATCCTTTGCTTTGTTTCTGTGTCCTTATCTTTCCTGGCAAAAACCAACATGAAGCTGAGATACTTTAAACTGCCTCATCAAGGACTGAAATCATTGGCACGTCCAAGTGCTCAAAGGTTGGAAGCAGTTCAGTGAAGATGCACTGTAGTGCAACCTACTTACATCAATACAAGTCACAAGTCTTTTACTCATCTCTTAACAATAAATATATGCCCTAGATTGCTCAGTGCTCAGTTTTTCACATCTCAGGTCTTCTCCCGAGACATCTGTGAATGACAGCATGTGCAGATCTGTTTTGGTGCAAGAACCCTTCTTTGTCTTCCAGCTCAGAGCTTGCTTCCTGAGGTATTTCTTGTGATAAGACTCGAACTGATATACTGAGGAGGCAAGTGATTGGTTATACTGTGTGACAACCGATATCACTTTTGTGGACATTTGAAAGTACCTTCCTTCAGAGCTGTTTGCCTCTGGAAGAGAGTGCTCAGGAATGTTTACTGGCTGAAGATGTGGACTGTGACTAAATAGCTCCAGCTTGGTATGGGAAAAGTGGGGAATGACACCATCGTGTCCTGTGAAAAACAGGATGCAGGTGGGCATCCCTGCTTCCTCTGATCTGCTGAAAGGCCCAGAAGATGGGAACAAAAGCAGTTTCTGCTGAGATCCCAGAGTCAGGAGCTGCCACTCTAAAGAGAGCTGACTCAACCACTCTCACGTGGGGTATACATGTAACAAAAACCTCCTCTCCCTCCTATTAAATTGGAGCAAGATACTTGGGCTACATGGGCTGCCCTTGTGCAGCTGCTTGTCCTAACAGGATTTTGGCCTCCTCCAGCTCTGCCTTAGCGTGCAAACAAAAATGACCCACCTGAGAAGGAAGAGGAACCTTCCACATGCAGACCGCATGACCAGACTCAGACACCAATAGAGCCATGCCTCTGCTGCAGGTGACAAAGGGGCAGGGACAGTGATGCAGGTGTAGGCAGCATCTTCACTGAAAGCAGGCAGGCAAGATCTCAGTGGGGCTGTGCCTTTGCACCTTGGTTTGCTTGCTACTGTACAGAGGTTCCCAAGAGAGAAAAGAGAAGCCATTTTGCTTTTCTGTATTTTATTTCTGCTAAAATTTCCGTGAACAGAATAGCTAAATTTCAGTCCTACCCAAGCGACCAAAGAGTGCCATTTCAGTATCACAGCAGAGCAGCTAGAAATGCACTGTGTTAAATTTGTGTACATCTTTGCGTTAAACTTCTGTGATCTCTGTTAATCACCGATTATTTTTGTTATATTTAATGATTTCGGACAGTGTAGAACTAGAGAAAATCCAACAAATTCAGAACTGCTTAAATTTTAAAGAATGTCATAAAACAAAAAAATGCACACCTCATCCATCTGGCAGGAATCCACACATACTGACTAATTGCTTAAAACTGATAGAGAGATAAGATCCAATGGCACCATGTTTATTTTTGGGTTTTAAAAGGCCAAAAAAAAGGCAGTAAGTAAAGGGCAGTGGAGAAAACGATGCTTTGGAAAGGTGATTTCATATAGGAAATGCTGGTGAGGGTGCGGAGGTGATCAAATCACTGTGATTTGCCTCTGGAAAAGCATCTGTGCTTCCACCAAGTGTGATTTTGTCACTAAAACAGGTGCCATGCACATACACAGCACCTAGCACTTCTCACACACACACAGTTTGGTTTTGCAGAGGCTGCTCTTTGCTCACCCTGCTGAAGTAGGAAGCGACCTCTGCCCAAGGAGGTAGACCTGCTAGAGAGGGGCTTGGGAAATGTGCCCAGCTGTGCATGGCTCCACGTATGAGGAGAATCAAGGTCACTCCCTGCTACTCCCGTCTTGGGAGCCATGCAGAAGAAAAGCCAGTGCCTTTTCTCACAGCCCCCAGTTGCATCTGCCCCATGCACTCATGTCATCCCCACTGCAGTCCTATGGCCTCCTATAGCACCTCTCCCCAGCTTGTACTGGTAGCGGGGGTTGCCTCGACCCCAGTGCAAGACATTGCACTTGGCTTTGTTGAACCTCAGGAGGTTTTTCTGATCCCACTGCTCAGGCCGGTTAAGGGCACTCCACGTGGCATCCTGTCCCCTGAGCGTGTTGACTGCACCACACAGCTTTGGGTTTCAAGACCTCAAAAACTAAATCATCAACTTATGCTTGTGAAGCTATTTTCAGTTGATAAAAATGACCCACACATTTCCAAATCAAGTGTATGGAGTCGCAAACAGATATTCAACTCAAAAATCAGATCACGTCTCTTTACTGGACTTTCATGATCCCTGTCTTAGCAGAGGAAAGTACTCTTTGCTTCAAGATTATCCTTATTCATGTCATCACTTTTTGGCAGCTCACACATTTTGAACAATTCTTGTCAAGGATGAAGCACAGGAAAAGTAAAATTTCATCAAAAATCTCTGATGAACACCTTGAGAACTCACTAAGCTTTGCAGCCACAGACATCGAACTGCACTGGTGCACCACTTTCACAAAGTCAGGTGTCCCACTAGTTTTTTTGTTCCTTTTTTATTGTTTTAAGAAAAAAATATTTAAAATGTTTTGTAACTTATATCTTAACAATATTGCATGCTGTGCAAGGGCTGCTCTGAAAGCAATGCCTCCTGTTTTATTATGTTGGCCCATAACATCAGACGCAGGCGTTGGTCGTTTGTCAGCAGAGGCTGAACCCTCCCACCAATATTCCATTACGCGTTGCTACTGTGTGACAGATGGCAGCAGAGGAGCCCTCTGACAGAATGGTGTCTGGCACAGAAGTGTGTACGTGCATCACTGAATTCCTCCATGCAGAAAAGATTGCACCCATTGACATTCACCAGCACTTACTGCATGTTTCTGAAGACCAAACAGCAGATATGAGCACAGCGAGGCAGCGGGTGGTGCGTTCCAGCTGTGGTGATAGGGGGTACAGACGTTTATGGCCACAGCACACAGGCTCTTGCTCATTGTAGGTGAAAAAGCACAGCTAATGATGGTGACTGTGTTGAAAAACAGTTTTGTAGCTGAGATTTGCTCTATCATCAGATGTAATTCCCATGGAAATAAATGGAAACCAGGCATTGATTTTGGAGTGATGCATGTACACGTGGCCCAAGACAATTTCTATTCACTGAATACAGCCCAGGCAAGCCAAGATATTGGGCTCCCATGCAGTAGTGCAACAGTCCTGCTGGTATTTTCAGAATATGTAGTTCATTTGCAAATACAAAAAGCATGTATTTAAAATCTGACAGTGAATGTGTAAGGCATCCATTGTTTGTTCTCTTACGACTCATGGAAGTCGTTCGTATTAAGCCTCCGTACACCTCTTTCAAACCAACAATGAATGACCAGCTAGGCACTTCACAGAAAATTAATTATCTTTCCACAGATAACAGACTTCTTAATTATTGCTATGATAAAGGTAACTGATTGCTTTCCTTATATGTAATGAAATATAAAGAGCACTCAGTACAAATGCATAATTTATGATTTTGCATTTATGTAGTAACTCAGCCCTTAATTGACAGCAATCATTTGTCTTGTATACAGGAAAGTGTCATTTACACAATCTAGAATCTGCGGAGTTGCGAGTATGTATACACACTAGCTTCCAAACTGAAGGGACGTGACTGCTAAGAGAAACTGACAAAATTTCTATGTAACTCAAGCACCAGCAGTGCTGAAAGCCCAAGGGAACAGCGTCGAGCTGTCAGGGGAGGGTCAGGTTGAGTATCAGGAAAAAGGGTGCCTGGGCCCTGGAATGGGCTCCTCAGGGCAGTGGTCACTGCCCCAAGCTGCTGAAGTTCAAGGGGGATCGGGACAATGCTCTCAACCCCAGCGTTTCAATTTTTGAGTGTTCCTGTATGGAGGAACATCCAGTTTAGGATATTCTGTGATTATTTGATTCTAAACAGCAATGTTACCACAAAGTTGTTCTTTTTACCTTGCATTAGTTTCTGGTTTGTGGAAACTTCTTCAAGCTACCTAATACTAATGACATGATGTATCAATTCATATCTGCTAGTGTTCTCATTTCAGCTGGACAGAGCTGATTTTATTCTTAGTGTCTGGAACAATGCTGTTTTGGCTTTAGGAGAAAAACAATGTTGGTAACACACCAGTATGTTGCTGTTACTGAGCAGTGCTGCACAGAGCCAAGGATGTTTTACAGTGCCTCTTACTGTCCTGCCAGCAAAGGGCTGCTGCATAGGCACAAAGAGCTGAGATGGGACAGAACCAGGACCATTGACCTAAACTGGCCAGAGGGACATTCTATAACATGAGACATCATATTAAAAACAAAACAAAACAAGCAAGCAAACAAACAAAACAAACCAGTAGAACTGAGCTGAGAGGACAGCTGCTGTGTGGAGACTGGCTGCACATTTTACTTTCATTTATACCACAGGTTTGTTACCTGGGACGGATGGATGCGTTTAAAAATCAAAGAATAAGTGGAAAGCTATGCAAGAAAGTTTAATAGGAAATACTAAGTACTTTTTTCTGTGATTACATGACTGGCAAAAATCAATACTAATTTATTATTAAGAGATCATTACAGCAAAAAAGAAATAGAACATCCTTACCACATACACCTACTGTAATTTATGGCCTTTTTCAACATACAACAGAAACAAGTCTTTTCCCTATCTGTACTTTTGCAACGCTAAATGAATTCATCAGCATAAATTAAGCCTAACTCAAAATGCTAGAATTTTTTTGTGTTTGATTCTAGACCATAAGAGCTATTCTTTTAACAGTAGGTGAGCAGGGATTCTCAGCAAGACTTGAGAGTTTAACTGTCCAGTAGGTTGGAAGGGGAAAAAGGGACTACTGCACTGTGTGTCATTCAGTCCTTCTTGTCATAAAAAGCTTGCAGAGTTAAGCACAAGACTTTTAATCTTGTTTATATCCAGTGTCAACTATTTTCATGCTTCTCTGTCACAGTTTCTATGAATACTTCTTTGATGATGTCCTTATCCAAGTTTCTACCTGCAAAGAGAAAAAAGATTAGTCAACTGTACTTCAGAGTGCATTACAAAAATCCATTCCTGTAAGGGGAAGCCGCTAAGACCTCTCACCAGGGAAGATGCTTACTCTATCAGTGGGTGAAAACAGTACTTTATCAAAACTAAGCTGCAGGTAACAAGTTAATTTTACGTTACACAGGCAAAAACAGATTTCAAGAAATATGCAACGCCTGCGAAACAAATGTGACTTTGTACGCTTTAATGACTTCACATTCCTCACCGTTATTGGTTATGTGATCAAATACTCAAAGTATGCCCATGAATTCCCACGTAATTATTTGTTTTTAAAGTAATCCTCAATATGCTTACATAATTTCTGAATATCTTTTATTTTATTTAACTACAAAGGACAGCAAGCACAGCTGTTCTCAGCTGCTTTAAGAAGGTGCAGGGGGATTTTCATGTATAGAGCTTGGACTGAAGGTTACACAGAACATCATAATTGCTGTTACTCTGGCTAGTACAGGCTGGCTGCTTTTCACTGGACAGGTTTCACTGGACTGCTGCTGAAAGAAAAAGCTCCTTAAAGTCACAAAAAAAGATGCAAAGTTACTCATACCAATTAAAACGAGTCTATTTGTTCTTTTTTCATCTTCCTTCCATGCTACTGCAGTCTCTTCCAGATCATAGAGCTCATGGACACCTTGGACTATCACTTGATGAGATTTGCCTTGAATAGATACGAGTCCCTTATCAGAAAAATAACTGTTAGAGTATATAAACAAACCTTTAAAAACAAAATACTTGTAGGGGAAAAAAACAACTTTAAAAGTGGACAGAACAGGGAAAACCTCTGACAACTATGCAGCAGTTGATCAAAATAATAATGCAACAGAATTGTCTCTTGTAACATCCATTCTCACATATAATAATTATACTTTGCCATGCTCTCAGTTTCTCATTTGGACAGTTACCTAGAATGTTTGTGCAAATTAAAATGTCATCTCCTACCATGGCACTTTAATTATATGTATGATGTATGTTTCTATGAAAGCCTTATCACCTCTCAACGATGACATAAAATGAGCAAAAATGTTGAGTCTATTCCCACTGAGTTCTCATGCTTAACATTTACACTATCTTGAAACGGAATCTCTGAATAGTAGAGGAAGAACAAATATTTGTGTGAAATGACTAGCAATGGAATTACAATGGAATACTTTCAAAACTAAGTCCATTAACTCACATTCCAAAAGTTGCATTAAGAGTTTTCATCACTTGAAAACTTTCTAAAATATTCTAGTCGCACACATCCTGTCAAACACCTCTTATACTTCCTTAAAGAAATAAAAAAAAAAACAGTTAAAAGTATTTCATGACAAAAAGTCTGTATTTGACACAGTAGTAGGAATTCTGCAGCCACTGCCAAAAAATACTGTAGTTGCTGGTAAAATATGAATATGAAAGCAACAAACTTTGGAATCCATTCAATAATTACCTGGGACTAATTTACTTTGGTATATTTGTCTGCAACAACTGTTGTTCAGCACACACTGTATTATTTGCCTCAGAAATTTTGATTAGTTAGTTTGATTCCAAAGCTCAGTACAACAGAAGCATACTTCTAATTAGCAGTACAGCTAATTAGTACAGCAGACAGCTTAAAGTGCATTGTTGTTTTTTTGTTGTTGTTTTACTTGTTAAGAGAGGGAAGATGAGAACCTTTGTTTTTTTTTGCTGCTGAAAGATCAAGAAATGCAACCTTTCTTCCAGTGAAGCAGAAATAATTATGTTGCTACCTATGACGCACACATTCCCAGGAAACTAATCAGAGCACATTTCATTGTGTTTCTTAGACCTTATCAAGTTTTACAATTGAGTTTTATTTACTTAGCTTTTTGGTTTAAGGAAAACGCAAGCATATCCTCCAGCATCACCTACATTCATCTCAAAACCATGCAGTGAATTGCATGTGGAGATGAATACACTTATGTTTGAATCTCATCTTTAGAACTGCAGTCTGATGTAGACCATAACTAGCATTGTGCTGCTTTGCTACATTGGATTAAACTTCTGCTTATTATGCCAATAACTGTAATCATGGGCAGAAATCTGTAACTACATCTCTAGATAAGGAGTCATGTGAAATGGACGGGACCTTTCAGAGCAAAGGAGGTGAAAATAGCATCACGTCCTTTCATTTATGTCCTGATCATTAATCTGGTCCCATTCATGTTCGGGACTGCAAGTCTCCCTTTCACTACACAGCAAGTAGTACCACTGTTTGCTTCTCTGTCTCCTATCTTGAGTTGTCTTGTTCACCAGCAGACATTTAAGAGTCTCTAAACAGATCAAGGACAAACTGGTGTTCTCTCTTTTGTCTGCTCTTTGCTCTGTATGTCACTGACAATACACTGCAGTTCCTTCTGGTTTAAAAGAGGGAAAGCACAAAACAAAGAAGCTAGTAGTCTCAGGCAAACCTTCAGTCTTATGACATCCATGGTACGTCCAGCCTTATCTTTCACATTCTTTTCCCACAGGAGATTCTATGAAGAGGAAAAACATTTTCACAAACCAAACAGTATGGGATGATTTTCTACAGAAAAGCATAACAATTTTGCAGCTGACTATGTTGTGTTAGTATTTACCTGTATGAAGAGATTTAGGTTTTCTTCCTTAATATTTCCCAGGACTTCAAATGTTACTGTCATTATACCCTGTAAATGGAAAGACACACTTATAATTGCTTAACTGAATAAATATTTTTGTATTTTCATATATTTTAAAAAGTGTTCTTCATAGCTTGCCCTTATTTAAAAGAAAAAAAATAATCTATTAGTCCACTCCAAAATACAAACAGGAAATTAAAAAACAAAATCTCCATTTCTGTGCTGTCCACTTTCTTACACTGTTGGTTTGTTTCTGTTTTGGCAGGGGCATAGCCAACACCTTAAACAGTCTATTGCCACCTGCTTATAAAGCAAAACTCTTTGCTGTAGGTGATGCTTGTTTTAAAAGCCTCAAAACTTTAATTTTTATAGGCTAATAAGCTTAACTTTTTATGTAAGTTTCAAAATGCTATTTTCATATCTAACCTTTGCCATTGTTTCTGCTCTTCATCACAACTTTATCAGACAAAAAATAATCAATATGCTTCCAACCTATCAGTGCTTTCCTTCTATGAAAAGCTCTTTACAAATAAGCTACATAAGAATAGATTTCAAAAATAAAGATGTATTAAGTTTTATTCCAGAAAACCACCAGCAACTGCTCAGAACCAGTTCTCAAAACAAAAGGTGGTAATAAGCGTGTAGTTTGAAATCTACGGTTTCTTAAAAGAAAATAAAGGAAGTAATGCATCTGAACTTATTTTTGTCAGTACAGCCTCTCAGTGGCACAGAAGTACACAACGAAAACGACTTTTTCTACAGCCTAAAAATCTTGAAGATTACTACTTCCAGAAGGTTGCCAGTCTAATTAAGACACAAGCAAAAAGCGGCAAACCTAAAGGCTTATCCAACACTCAAGTAAACTCACCAAAACAACCAAGCACTAACATCTTAAGTAGCTTCAAAACAAGAGATATGTATGCTTCATTCATAAAGCAGTATTGCTCCTGCTGACCTTCCACATGATGTGGATAAGCACACTTTATCATCCAACTTGCAGCCTACTGTGACAGAAGCGTTCTCTCTTCTTTATGCCTCATCTGGCTCACCAACTGTCCCAAACTCTGGGTGTTGAACTGAACAGGGCTAGTAATAAAGAATTCTGTTTACTGCTGGTTGACTGCAGTTGCTTTTTTGATAAAAGCAAGAATTTCCTTCATAATACAAGCATAATACAAACCTCGAAACATACAGGAAAGCTTCTACTTAACTGCACTTATATACTACAACTGAACACTGTTAAGATGAACATAAATTGGTATTTTTGTGTATAACTAAAATTTAAGATTCTGATCATAATTGTAGCTAACCAATAAATTTTCATATTTAATCTTTAGTTTTCAAGACTATCAACTTCACAGTCAACATTTGCAGTTCAAAAGAAAAATAGGTTTCATAGTCACTGTATTTTAACTGAAAATTTAATCGAATCACAGTATTTTTCTGTAAAGAAAGTTCACTTTTCTAAACTACTACTACATAAAAATGTAAGCTTTAATTTTTTTTTCCTTTCTCCCCAGTCCCTGAGGGAACACTGTCCTTTAGTGAACTGCACTGGACTGGGGATATCCACCTTTTGGTGGTTCACAACAGATCCACAGAGCACCTACGTACAAAGTACCTGTATTAGACTGGGATTGTAGGTGACCTACAGATCAGGTACAGTAACGAACAAAGCAGTGACAAAACCATTAAGAGCAGGAGAAAGCTACTATGGCTTGTCTCTGTTCCTGCAAAGGGAAATTCTGAAGAACTCAGAAACCTACTGGGACAGTTAAGGGAATTTCATACTCTGAGAGGACAGGTGTTCAATTATCTTTTTCTCAAAACTCAGTATCAGCAAGTTTTTACTGACTGAAATTAACAGTAGTTGGAACACAAAGACTTGTCATCATCCAGAACTGAAATGCCTGCGATGATTTGGGGCATATGGAAGGCATCTTGGTTCCAGTATAGAGAATCTATCATTACCTGCTCTGGTGTGAGTAGTGCACTCGCTACACGTGTGTGGATCCACACAGACAATGTATAAAGCGTCGGGAAAAGTAGGGACCTCTCAAAGTCAGTAATGGCTGGGAAGGCACAGGACACTGACAGCTTCAAACTCACATACCCTCGGGCAGTCTTCTAGGGCAGTATCCAAGAAAATTAGCTCAATGGTTTCAAAATGAATATAGCTACCATTTGTACAACACTTCTACTGCGTGCTGGCTTGCTGTAGAGATATGCCAGTATTTATCATACGCAAATGGAGACCAACAGACTGGAAACTCTGAAACACTGTTCCAGCAATCTAGCCAGCAGCCCCTTAAAGCACAGAACTGGCCTCAGGGAAATGTATGTGACAAGCCATCTGATTTACTGTGGAACGGCAAGCAAGATTAATATTTGTGAGCCCTATCAGGAAGCCCACATTAAGGTGTTGCAGAAACTGTAGCACTGCTCCTATAGAGTGCAGCCACTCCGAAAGGAAAGCAGTGCAGGACAACTACAGCTGCTGCCCCACTCATCACTCCCACTAGAATGCTCTAGGGAACTTGAAAACTCTGCTCTGAGCAAAAGCAGAGACCTCTGGAATGGGCTGACCCAGCTCTAGGGCCTCCAACATAACACGATACAGACTTCTTGCACCAAGTCCTGAGGAGAGCCACAAGAATAATCACAATCAGACAGCTAGAGCATCTCTCCTGTGAAGACAGGTTGAGGTCACCGAGGTTATTCAGCCTGGAGAAGGCTCTGAAGATACCTTATAGAAGCATTCCAGTATTTAAAAGGACAAGAAAACTAGAGAGGGATTCTTTTCCAGGCAATGTAGTTATAAGACAACAGAGGTGGGTTTAAAACTAAAATAAGGGAGATTTAGGTTTAGATGTCAGGAAGAAATTATTCACTATGAGGGTGGTGAGGCACTGGATCAGGCTGTCCAGAGAAGTTGTGGATGACCCATCCCTGGAGGCATTCAAGACTGATCTAGTGAGCTGCAACACTGCTCATGGCAGGGCAGTTGGAACTGGCTGGTCTTTAAGGCCTCTTCCAACCTAAACCACTCTGACTCTGCAACTGATGGAGTGGTACACTGAGTTCAATCCATATGGTCGCACAAGCAAAACCCTGTCTTCAAGATTGGAAGTGGCAACTTGACTGCAGTAGCTTAGACTATCTCTTACCTTTACAGGCAAATGGCAAGGGTCCCTGAAAAGGCTTTACTACTGAAGCCCTTGCTCAAAAGCCCTGTCAGCTGGATACTTGCTTCTGTAGTATTAAAACCCGATAACCTGGCGGGATATCCCTTTGATCCTGGAGTAACTTACAGCATCAGACTTAGGCAAGTACGTTAGAAGTAGGTCTGAGATCAGACTCATGGCAAAGCATGACAGAAATGCAATAATAGAAGACACAGGAGGAGATGAAATATCTTCCTGTTCCCATCTTCCAAACTGGAACTTAAGAAATGAACATAAAGTCCTTCAAAGATCTGTATCTACAAACTAGGGAACTGAAAGTTCAGGAGACATATTTCAGCTCAGAAAATGCAGTAACAAGATGTGAAGCAAGGTGTGGAAATTATCCAGTACATCATTTTACTCCTCAACTAAGGAAATGTCCATGCTATTTAAAATGAACTTCGCTCACCACATATTTGAGTGTTGGACAATGTTGCTATAGCTGTTGGACTCAGATAAACTAGATATCTAATAGAGGCATTATTCTTTGTTTGTATTATTTGTTAAAAAAAAAAAAAAGGAAAAAAAAGAGGGGAGGGGAAGGACCTTACTAGTAAAATCTGTGCATCACAGACAAGATAGAGGCTTAAAAACAGCATGGGGTTGAAACCAGGAGATCATTGTGGTCCTTTCCAACCCAGGCCATTCCATGATTCTGATTTAGCACAGAACTGCTTATACTCTGTAGGAGTGACAGACCAGGACCTTCCCCCTTAAATCAGTATTAAAAATTAGAAAGGCAAAACAGACAAAATACTGGATATGCTCTTTATACAAAACAAAACCATGAAGGCAAAAATGTTTTTTACAACTGCCATGTGCAAGGAACATTCTATTACACAGAGGGAGACAGAAGATTCAACCCTGACATAAATACACACTGGGTTATCTGAAAAAACAAAGCAATTTAGAGTTTGACATACTAATAGCAGCATCAACAGAAGTGTTTCTAATTTTCCAGCACATAAACTAGCGTTGATACCAAGTTTAGAAGAAAATCTAATTCACTGTTACGAGTTGATCTGTTGATTTTCTGTGTAAAAACAATGGGAAGCACTCGCAGAACGAGAATCTGTGCCTGCCTAACGTCTTAGTTAATGTGAAGTCATGAACAACAACTCCCTGATATCTACAAATATTGACACTATTTGGACCCACAGGATAAATATCAGCTCTAAGTACAGGACTCAATTCTGCAAATACTGAAAAGAACAGTATTATTTGTTGGTTCTAGTAGCGTTCTCCATGTACACGAACAATGCAACTGTCTCCAACAGTGGAACTCCTAAGCCACATTTGAAAGCAGAACTTAGTATACACATCTACATCAAAGTACATGGCTGTGGGCATTCAGTGTAATATTCCAGAGTTCTCAAACATGTCATTCCCAAACTGAAACCTGCTGAAAAAGTGAAATGCCATGGTTGCAATTACCTTGAACTACCCTCTTACAAGACAGAAGCAGTGCTTTTTATAATTACCTTATCTAGATGTGAATGTGTTGTCTTCATATTCTCAATTTTTTTCTGCAAGCTGAAAATAAGTAAATGTTGGATTTGCATTGGATAGATGCAGTGTCATTATTTCAAACAAGACTTACACAAACTCTTCAGTACTGCAGACCAAAACTAAAGTATCATCATCAAAATAAGTTTCATCTGTTAATTCAGCTTTAATCTCAGAATAGTTACATTTAATTATATTTGCTTGATCTTTCAAATGATCCGTGTTAGAAAGCTTGCCATTGCTTAGTTGCTGGGATTCCACTATAATTACCACTGTAATCATCTAATTTGACTATAATAATGAACAAAACAATCACAGATTTTCTTTCTAGATTAGAAAAAAATTCTAACTTATATGTGTGATAGAGCAAGGAGTAACCTATCAGATGATCATTTCTGGTAGGATTAAAGCTGTTCTTGGGCTTAAGAGACAACAAAGCATTTCTAATAACAGACTAACTCAACTGTCAGACTAACTGAAAAGAAAGAGTTAGAGATTCATTTTCACAACAAAGCTAATAGTACGGTCCTCCAACAAACTTTTAACAATCCTAGAGTTATGTCACCAGGGACTTTCATAGAGAAAAATGAATGAATTAAAAATGCTGCTGTGAAACAAAATTGCAGTAAAGCCTTGTTAAGATGTACGAACACATTCTGATGAGAGTACTCAGAATACTAAACAGTATTCACTTACAGAAATACATTCAGTCTAATTTTCAAATTGACTCATACATATTGATCCAATATTATGAAGCCAGCGTGAAAAATGTACGTGTGCTGAAGTCCAAACGGAGGAAGAAAATACAGCCTCAGAAAGTCAGATGCTACTTTACATGAAGAAAGAACCACAGTACTGGCACTGGGATGTCAGCCACAGCAAGAGGACAATGATTTTGAACATGTGAAAGCAGAGATAGGAAACACGAAAACTTTAACTGGTAAGAAGGAGCTTAAAAAGGGTCAAATAGCTCACGCCATTGGGCGTGTTCAGTTGTCTCAAAAGTACTGAATTCATTGCTTTGCTCCTCACTAATTTCTATTTCCGTTCTTTAGAAAATAAAGTTCACAAAAAAGATCAAAACAGCAACTTAGATTGTGCTCTCTACTACATCAGCACATCTTATACTTTTACATCTTTATAAAACTAAAAAATAACTTCTGATATCTGTGGGATTTTTACTACTGTCAATAATACAGAATCAATTCTAAAAATAAACTGAAGGACCAGATTATTACTCAAGCCATGCACTAATCTGAAACACAGATGAATATTCCTTGGTTATTTTCGCTGTTGATCTTAAATACAGTTAGATTATTGTAATGAATGGCAGTATCTTTGATATTTAAAATACTTACACTGCAAGTATTGATTAAAATACTTACACTGCAAGTATTGATACTCCTCTGTAGAAACAAAAGATAAATCCCAACGCTGCTGCCAGCAGGAAAAATAACTACAGTGTGTCCATTTGCTGAACATCATTTTCCAAAATTATATTAGGAACTAAAAAAAAAGTACAAAGCCATTGCTTGTGAGAGTGAAAACTGCAGTGTAACATCAATACTATACTTAACTCATTCCCACAGCTAATTCCCACTGCACACTGCGCAGCGTTTGCTGATTTACAGCTGGGCCTCTTAGTCACAAAAGAAGTCGAGGACTTAATGGATCCAGGAACACGCTGAACAACATTCCTAGAAGCTGAGGCTGCTGTGGAACTCAGAGTTTCCTGTGAAAACTAAGGTCTCCAATTCATCACGATGTAAAGTGAGAAAAAAAACCAAATCCTCTAAGTTTTAAGAGAACCAGAAAAAAGTGCCAAGATCTTATTGATTGGAATTAGTAATAAAGAACAACTTAACGCCTCAGCAAGGGAAATGGGGAAAAAACGCCAAACAATCAGGGGCACTTTGGCTCTCATTTCATTTTACAAACCCTAAAATCTTTTGCTGCATGTATCTCAAGTAGAAAAACATCTGTTTCTGATTACTTCTTACTGAGAATTTTAAACGAGCGTCTAAACTAGAATTTGTAACAGAAATTCAGATACAGAGTCTGCCTGCATGTAAGTGTGACCTACTTCATGCACGTATTTATGCAACGAACATTACTTCTAATAAAAATGAAATTATTGCCATACCTTATTCCAGATAGACTGTCAAAAGCATGCAGGTCCAGCACATTGGAAAGATCAACTCTGCATGAGTAAGGAGAGAAAGAAAGCTTTCTTTTCACGCTATTTTTACTGCAGGTAAAGATTATGCATACTGAAGCTTCAATTACTCACTTATACATATACAAATAATTGTTTTTTTTCTGGCCTTTTATTCCAATGTTATCAGGCACCAGAAGCTAGCCCTATTTTCAGATGTTGGCAGTCAGTATTATCTGCTATGGAGTAAAGCAGCTTTCAGTTGCACAGTAATACGAAAGCATAAGAAGAGGATTTTAGAGAATATAGTTCACAAAAAGTAAAAATGAAAAAAAAAAATCTGTTTCCAGAAAGATTAAATCCTTTGTACTGGATGCCTGAAAAATATCTAATTCTCTGATGGGAGCAATTGTTCTGTACCTCTTTGAACACACGCACACACTAAAACATAATACAGGTAGCTATGCAGGTGCACAGCTAACAGTTCATAGTGTAGGCCTTGTAAAAATAATGTCTGTGGAACAGGATTTGGAACTACTAATAATGGCCAATCTAATACCTTGACCTTTGTGTCTCCAAAATTTTGACGAGTCCATTTATTGACCTAAAACAAAATAGAAAAAAGCAAAAGTGAGGTGCAAATGAAACTGTAGTATATTGATTGAACAATTTAACTATGTAAAGCAACACAAGAAACATAAAAACACCTCTCACACTGTTATTAAAAGTTGAACTGTCCAAGAGGCATCCAGAAAGCGTTCGTTTTTGTGACTTTTTATATCTGAACAAAGGTCAAAATGCACAATTTCTGACAACAAAATATTACTACTGAATACAGCGTTTTTCCCCACAAGAATCCTCCTGATACAAACTGCAGGGTTAAGAATTCTTAGAGTCTGAGGCACAAACAAAGTTGCAAAGTATTTCTTTGCAAAAATATTATGTTTTGTCTGTCAGGGTACTGAGAAAGATGGGACATGCCATTAAATACTGGTTTGATTCAGACCACTGGTTCTTTTACATCCAAAACAATTATTTAGAATACCTTCCATACCCATTTATATTTGCTAATAAAAATGCATGCACCAGCAGACATTTCCCCCTGCCGTTAACTCAGAAAAACTGCAACAGCTGCCCAGCAGTATAAGAATGTGGATACTTAAGACAAAGGTCTATCATAAGGCCTTTTAAAGGCCTAACTTAGCCAAGGAAATGGTGTGGAGTTACATCAGAAAGGGGTCAGGTTTGGTGTTAGCAATAGGTTCTTCACCAGAGGGTAGTGGGCACGGAAGGCACAGAACAGACTGCCCAGGGCTGTGGTCATGGCCCCAAGCTGCCAGAGTTCAAGCAGCATTTGGATAATGCTCTCAGACACAGAGTTATAATTTCAGATGATCCTGAGTAGAGCCAGGAATTGGACTCCATGGTCCTTGAAGGTTCCTTCCAACTTAAGAGTATTCTGTGATTCCACGCTTCTTAGCAGGTAACGTAAAATCTTATTTAGGCAAGCTGTTAAGACTGTGGGAGCACATAAACGCAATGGAAATGTCTCCAGAAAGGGACAGACTCTTTTTCACTGCTGACTACACAATGTGTTGGAGTAATCATGAAATCTGATTTCTAATAACACTTGAGCGTGTACAATGTTCCAGTTATACCAGAAGTTTCATACCTGACAGAGGTTCTGACTTTATTCAGTTCTTCCCCCGAAACCAAATCTGTTTTATTGATGATTATAAGATCAGCTAAAGCAACCTGCCTATACATTTGAAAAAAGAAAAAAGGACAGCTTGAACAAATTGATTTTTTCAAGGCAGAAAGAGTATGTCTCTCATAGCACTGTAAAATTACTAACAATACATGTACTAGCAATACAGAAAGACAAACATTAACCAAATCATTAACCAAACTAAAACATCATGAAATGACTACAGTACTACTTTAGATTATTCCCTGCTGCTTGTTTTGGTTGCTTGCTTGCTTCTCCTTTTACATTCCCTCCCACTCCACTTAAAGAAGTCATCTACTCCAAATTCTCTTACAATTTATTAACTCCAGGAACCTCAAATTCTCTTGCATGCATTCTTCACAAGGACTTCATCACAATTACACCTTTAATCACTGTGGCTCCACATTAAATATATATATACGCACACACATATTTCTCTATCTCCAGTACAACTTATATAATCTGACAGAGCCTAGCTTGGAAACCTTCCTTACCCCTACCAGGTGTCTCCCACCCCCCACCCCCAATATTTATTTTAATGTAAAATTCTATTTATCTTACAAATGTATGAGAGTTGCTTTAGAAGTAATGCCTTCTGTGACAGCAGATTGAACCTTCCCACCACCATTACATTGAATTTTATTGCTGTCCAACAGATGGCAGCAGAGCGGCAGCCTAATGTTTAACTCGGAAGTGCATATGAAGTGTGGGTGTAGAACTGAATTTCCCCTTGTGGAAAAAAATGGCACCCAGTGACATCCATCGTCACTTGGACACTTAAAAAGGCCAAACACTGGATGTGAGCACGGTGAGGCAGTGTCTTGTGTGTTTAAGAAATGTTTACATAGCCATGTGAACATTTACAAGCGCAGCATGCAGGGTCTTTTTCATTGCTAGCAAAAATGTATAGCTAATGGTGGGGCAACTATACTGAAAATTGATTTTGTAGGTGAAAGTTGAGCTGCAGTTCTATCAAACAGCATTATTTGTACTCTATCTGCTGCAGTTTCCCTGGAAATAAAGAGGAGGAAAATAAAGATTATTTTCAGATAAACCTACTTATTAGAAAATTCCTCTCTTAGCAGAAAGATCAAATGAAGTACTGAATAATTTTTGATTTCTACCTTTGGTTAAAAGTAAGGGAGGGGAAAATCTTAGAAGAAGAATCAATTCTGAATAATCTTCCACACAGTGCAGTCACTGACTACAATTAAAAAATTAAAATTAAAAAAAAAAAGTTTTTATATCCATACCGTGACGCTTCGTTGACAAGACCTTCTGGCTTCTCCTCTGTTAAGTGCTAGATAAGAATTAAAACAAGGAGATTAAGCATGTTTAATTAATGTTCAAATTAATTTGAAGTTAAAGTATGCCAAAGTCATTTTACACAAGGTATGACTTTCAAGGAAGTATTACAGGAAGATTGTATCTTATCTTTGTGTTTTTTTTTTCCATTAGGATGAAAAAGTTCATACCTTCACCTTTACAGAAGCTTAACATTTCTTTAATGGAACTATTTTCTTTCAGTACCTTATTTGCATAGAATGCTGAAGAGTTGGAAAGCTGTGTTATAATATTCAATTCATCATGAATCTCAAAACTAAAGTCACCATGATATACAGTAACCACGGAAAAAGGTATCTGAATAAAAATATATTTTTTTCTATTTACTTATGTCTATTGTTAAAAATGTATTAGGCTTGCAGTACAAGATTTCATAATTATATAAGAATATCTCTTCTATCTGAAAGATTTACAAAACCACATAGCTATAGTAAAAAACCCATAATCTTGTTCTGAGTTTATATGAACAAACTGCTACTCATTAGTGAGTCTGCCTCTCCTCAGTGTTTGCTGTTTATTCAAGCAGAAACTAGGCAGAAGTGACAGCAATGACAAAAAGAGCATCACATCATTATGCTGCAGGAGTTCAGTATCTTACCACCTACAGCCTTGTCCTACATTTGTGTACCCAAGCTAACATCCCCCAGAGAATTAGTGAAAGAGAGAAAAAACACCCAATTCTCAGTCAGCAGCACTAACGATAGTAAGTTAAAGCTCTATTCTATCAGGAATTCAGAACAACAGACATCAGTACTGGAAGAGCAGAGGCACTGCTACAAGGCATTTTCTGCTCAGTCCTGACACTGAGGCAGCAACCCTTTAGACAAAAGCATCAAGGACATCTGGAAAATGTAAAACTTTGAACTGACATTCTAATATCAGAAGTGCACCTCGTATGGGAAGATCACATAGTCCTGTGCATTACTTCATCAGCTTAAATGTACGAGGAGTATTACTTTCAAATTGGATTTATTAAGACACAGGAATACAAAATGAAAATAGTGTTAATTTTCATGGGAAATGCATCAATTAAATAAAATTGTTTAAGTGGAACTGTCAGAATTCTAAAACAAAACTATACCATGTACCATCAATGTTGCCTTTAAAAAAAAACATTAAAAAACAAATCAAGACTATTTCCTGATTGTGCACAGTCTAAAGAAAATGTAACAAAAGGATGGCTGGAAAAGCAACTTTTCCTCTGACTTTTTGTTTCTGAGCTTCTATCAAATTAAGTGTGGTCAGACTTCTTGCCCCTGAAAGGACAAAGTCAGCAGTACACATGTAAAGACCATTTGTTCTTTACTTTAAAAAAAAAAAAAAATAGAGTATTTTATAAACTTGTATTGTTTACAGAACTACCTGAATCACAAGTAGCTTTTTAGATCAAACTTAGTAACAAGAAGAATTGCATATTAACAAGTCCTTCACGTACCACAAATGTTATCTGCCTAGCATATAATTCAGAAAGTCTGAAATTCCTAATACTTTAAGTCAGTTTTACATATTGACCAATTAAACAACCTAACAGTTTTCATTGAGCTTGTGAAGATAATAATGAAAAGTTCAATGTTTCAAAACGTGTGTGTGTGTTTTCTGGCATATTATTTGCAAGTTTAACATGAAAAGTTTGATTTTTTCTAAACAGTTAAGTACTGCCCTACATGACTTTTCTATTTGATTCAAGCCAGTAAGTAAGCACTGCATAAGGATAAAGTTGAACAGAACAGTACTTTTGAAAGTAATAAAACACCTAACTTACCATGAGGGCAGTAAACTGAAAACCGAGGCTTAAGACATTGCAGTTTCTTGTGATGTTAACCACAGGGGGTAATATCACAAGAAAGGGGTTATGATCACTCTTATTCTGAATTCCACAAAAGCAATACCTAATCAAAGTAACTACTGCTTACAACATTGTGAAGAATTGTTTTCACAGCCAATTATAAATGAAAAAGTTAAATTACTTGGATTTAATCACAATTTCTGCACTTACCTATCCTCACTATTCTGTAGGTCTGTTCTCTCAGTACACTTCACATAGATTACTCTATTACCTGCTATTTTAATCTACTTCCAGGTAACTCAATAATCCGTTCATCTGATACGGTATCAAATAGTCCAAATCTCTAACCTGTCCTCCCCATAGCTGCCCTTACACTAGCATCATTTCCCAATCTGCAGCCTTAAGTCACTTGTTATCACCCTGGTGTCAGAGGTCTGTTCTTCTTTTTCTCCATTCAAAATGCAGCACTAGTGAGCCACAGTAACTGAAATGTATCTTTGTTTGTTTTAAGAATTAAAACAATTGTAAAAAAAAGAATAACCAAAATGAACATCACTGCAACAGCTGTTCTGGGTACCTGTTCATCTAAAACATGTAAGAAACTCAGTACCTTACCTGCAATCCATGCTTCGCATCAACAACAGATACTATGCCTAAAGGAGAACATTAAAATAGAGTTAGCTGCTTCAAGCACACTTCAACATCTTTTTAGCTTCTCATATGACTAGTAAAATGACAATACCATCACATTTGAAATTGTTCATAATATTTTCAAAATTTCCAGTGTATCTCAACGTAACACTTGTCACCTGATTAGTTTGCTTTATTAATTCATACCTGTAGCTAAAAGAAGTCCATCAAACCACGCTAAAAAAATTCTTACCACGCAGATGCCTCTCTGCCTCCTTCCAAGCAAAAATAAGTGGGCAGAGATACATTCCCACAAGCAATCAAAGCAAACTAAGGGGACTGATTGAGCTACACAGTCATTCTGATTTTAGGTGACCAGGATTCTACAACTGTCTAGCAGAAACCGATGAAGCTGTTTGTAACGTAACTGAATGCTTCTCTAGCTAAAAGGGCATTTCACAGCCTAACCAAAAACACAGTAGGGTATTTTTAAGCAAAAAAAAATTATGATTTTTTCCCACTGGAAAAAAAAAGAAAGAAAGAAATCAACACACAACATGCTCTTTAACTAATGAAAATTACAGTAAAATTAAAATTTTAATGGAACAGATGAAGTGCTAGAACAAACAAGTAGAAAAGACAAAGAAGAAAACAGAAGGCAGGGGAGTTTGAATATTGATAAGAGATCAGAAAAACTAAAAATGATCAACAACACAATGAATAAAAATAATAAAACCTAATTAACATTTGGTAATACCCAACTAATGAGGACTAATAAGGTTTCTTCTCCTGAACCCATAGTCCAGATATCTCCTTAACTAATCTGTCAGCAAAACATACACAATTTTTGCTTGTTTTAGTGAACTGAAGCATCAAAACAAGTAACTAGATCTTTGACAAGAAATTTGAGGTTATGACAACCAAGATTATGTCTTTCAAACAATTTCTGAATGCTTGCAGTAAATTGCAATACATTACACTGCACTACACACAGATATGCAGTACCAACATGTTGCAAAACAAACTTGCACTGCTTACCATCAAGATATATGTCGCTTCCCAGCTCAGAATCAACCCAGAACATGGAGGCCACAGCTCCTAGGAAGTACAATAAGTTTAGCTGCAAAACTGATACTAGTAGTTCTGTATTTAAAACTCCTCTCTTACAAATTCAGAGAGCATTATCAATGTCAAGTGCCTGACCATGTATTTTATCCAGCAGCTGCCAAAGCATTACAGTTATGTAATATGTAAGATGAGACTAGAAAAGCTTTAAAAATCTCACAATTCCAGATGCATGTGAGTCTTCTGAATTAACTTCACCCAGTAATATCTACAGTGTCATTACTGCACTCATTGCAGGACTCCTCCACACAAAACACTGAAAGAAAAATGGGGTTGAGAACAGGAGCATGGCTGAGGGAAGCTATTCTCCTCCATCCAGCACTTTTAAGATTACATGTAGATAGTTCTTCCAGCAGTAGCATAGCCTATGCAAGAAAGATGTAACTAAACTGATGCAAGTTCAGCATAGAATCACTAAGACAGTAGGGATCACAGGCCCCGAAAGAGGTGGGCAACAGAGGTTGCTCTGCCTACACAGCAAACTTTCCATGGGAGCTAACGGCAGCCACCTTGAAAATCAAAGATAAGTCACTCAGGAGACTAAGAGAAGTTCTTCCATAGTGTTACATGGCAGAAAGATTAGAGATAACAGCATTAAGCTTAAACAAGAGGTTCCGATCACACGTATCACAAAAATGCTTTTTCAATATGAAAAGACAAGCACACAACCAGCTGACCAGAAACACAGTCTTCCCAGTTGTCAGAGGATGGGGATACCTGACTGAATATCCTGAGAAACCTGGCCTTATCATTTAGCTTATTTGCTTTTAGAAGTTGGAATAGACCCTCCAACATCCTTTGTATGTAGGATTTGTACATAACAGAGGCCATATCAATGTCCTTTCTTTTAAATAAAATCACTGTGACAACTATTGAGCTTCGAGCTGGAAAGTGTAAGTCTACCAAATGAGAAACAGCTTAAATGTCAATAAGAATTTCACAGAATCACAGAATTGTAGGGGTTGGAAGGGACCTCCAGAGATCATCGAGTCCAACCCCCCTGCCAAAGCAGGTTCCCTACAGCAGGTCGCACAGGTAGGCATCCAGGCAGGTCTTGAACATCTCCAGAGAAGGAGACTCCACCACCTCCCTGGGCAGCCTGTTCCTTCACTCTCTGACAATAACATGCTTTTATAATTGATCTGGTTCAGAGAAAACTGCTCAGGTTGCTATTACTTTATAATAACAAAAATCACTGAACAGCACATAAGGATTTATTGTTCTGTACCTACCAAAACAATGCATTAGTCCGTTTGGCAGCACATTTTTAGACTTCACAAAGGCTATGACAGATAACATACACCTTGGAAAGAGCAATGTGGAACAGAAATAAAACTTACTGAAAGCTGCTAGTTTTAGTGTCTTCTTCTCCAAGACTTAAGACACTTTTTCAACACAGATTTATTTTAACCAGATTTCTGTCAAGCATTAGAGTCAATCTAAAAGCTAGAAGTTTAACTACAACAACCACAATTTTGCCTGTGCACCCATTCCCTTGACCAGTTTTACTCTATGCAGCAACCTACATGCATGGTTGAAAACTTATCACTTCGTAACACATTTTTGAATGGTGAAGTGACTGCTGTGCAAATAAACACTTCATAAAAACAGGTGAATTATAATGGTTATGAAAAAACATACACAATGTAAACTACCTGGATCTGCCAAACCAGTTGTTTCTAACAATATATAGTCAAATTTTCCTCTCTTTTGCATGAGGTTCTCAATAGCCTTCACACCATTGTCCCTGCAAAAAGAAACAATTAAACCTGAGAGTAGAAAAAACAAGTAAAACATGCTTACACATGTTTTACATAAACTTATCCATGTGCTGATGCAGAACCCAATGACAGTATCATCAAAGCAAAAGGTCTGAGTCAGGACCTACACGAACTACACTTAAAATTCAGTCACTAAGCTGCTGTTCTAGTATTAGGCAAACAAAAGCCTTCAGTTTTATTTTGGTCTGAAAAACATTTGTGCACTCCCCAAGGCTGTAACAATGGCAATTTAAATAAATATTAATTTTCAAACACTGAAATCACAGTAAAGCAGGGTTACACTAATGTGTAACTTTTTGGTTTGGGAGGGAGCAAGATGTGCTATTTACTTAAATCCTTAAATCTCAGCTGCTTAAGTAAAAACGTATGCCATTTTACATATGAAACTTACGTATATAAAAAAAAGCAGTAACAGCTGCATTCTTTATCTATCAGGACACAACACAGTGCAATGAGACCTTCTGTTTTCCCCTTACTGTCCAATTTGTAAGGTATACGACTAGTTCTTTCAAATTTTCAGGGCCAACAGATCACCAACAAATTTAACACAAACAGTCCAACATTCAAATAAACAACAACAACAAAAAAAAAACAACAAACATGAATAAAATGCTATGTTTTAACATAACCACCTGTTTACAATTACGAATGCTGTCTCCTTACAGAGGCTCTCCCTCTGCCCCTTCTGAGCTACAAAACACCCAAATATTAGCCAACAGAGTAAGAAACACAGCTTAAGTATCTCACCTGAGTCCTAATTCCAGCTTTCTTGAATATTTGGTACCCAGTATAAAAGCATGTAATAGGAACAGAAGGCAGAACTCCTTACCCTGTAATACCCAACTGTAATACCCAACTGCATAGAACATTTTTCTGAAAGAATTGAAGTCCAAATCCAGTAAGGCATCAGAGGGAAAATAATGTCTATCTAGTAAATTCAAATTCGTTTCCTCTAAAATGTAAGTCACTATCAACACTGTCATTAGCTTTATGAATTTGTCCTTTATCTCCTCTCCTTTCCTCAACTCCCCCAAAACCCACTATTGAGAACTTGCATAGTAATCCCTTCTTACTTTACTGAACAGCACAAACAGCCATTTCTTAGCTCCAGCCATTCTTCATAGAGTTCTCCTCCCTGACTGATTGCCAAGGATTTCTCCAGTGCACTCCCTGGAAAAAGAACAAATATAACTTGAGTCTATCAATTTGTGAAAGAATACCTGCAAAAAAGATTCCTGCAAAGAATACCTGCAAAAAAGATTCATGTTGGCATATGTTTTGTTCTGGGATTATATTGTGGTTCTACAAAGGTAAAAAAAAAAACAACTGACAAGCAGGATGGAACAAGTTAGAATAGAGAGGTCAGCTTCTATCCCTATATCACATATAGGCCTGCTTCTGTAGCTTAAGGCTCCGTGACCAGAAGTGATGTGCATATGAAAAAAAACACAAAGCCATAAACAAACAACACACATCATCATCACAGTGCAAACCCTATTGTGCAGATAGAAAATGACAGCTCTGGCAGCCAAAAGTCCCACAAGCAAGGAAGCAAAAAAGTAGATCATAGAGACCATGCAAGCACTTCCTCATTTTCTTGATCTAAGATAATTTGTGTTCTTTAAGTAGCTGGGCAGAATGCAAAGAAAACATTATCCACCGACATTTCATTTTAATTTTCATCTGCTTCAGAATGAGCAGGCCAAGCAGCCATACCGTACTTCTAGCAGCGTAACAGCCTCATTTGCTTGACTTGAATGTACGTACAGAACTGTGCAACACGTTAATACTATGAAGTTCAGCCAAAAGTCTTCCTGCCTTTCTCAAGGCTGAGGTATGACACTAACTCCAGCAACAAATTTAAAACATCAACATTTGTGATTTCCAGAAGCTTTACGCATATTTTGCAGCTCAAGATAAATAACAAAAATGCTCATACAGGTTTACATACCTTCTCCAAATTCATTCAGTATCACTGCGATTCTCTTACTATGTTGCTCAGTCAGAATGTAATTCAGAAGCGTTGTTTTCCCAGCACCTGGAACATTAAACCGTTAAAAAACGGCTGAACTTTCAGATTAAAAGTAAATACTACTGGGGACACACATACTTTAGAGGAATCAGATGGAATGCAAAAGAATGAGAACCAACACTACAATGTATATATACACACGTACCAATTCGTACATATATTTGAAGAAGAGTTCACAGAACTATTGGCAGGCTAAACCTCACCTTGGAAAACAAAAATAAAACACCGACCAAAAAAGCCCACCCGCAACAGACCGCCCCGTTCACTAACTTCAGCTGACGCAGAGCCCCTCACCAGGCAGTCTTTCCCAGACAATTCACTTCTGTTAACAGAACCGGATTCTCCGTTTCGCCATCGCTACTCACAAGACGCAGCCACCACACGTGCCACCACCGAGCAAACAGCAAAGTCCCCGCACCGGAAGCCGCCCGCCCCTCACCTAGGTAGCCCGTGATGATGGTCACGGGGATCTTCCTGCCGGAGTCAGGCTCGCTGTCCCGCACGACGCCGACGCCTATCGGCACCAGCTCGGGGCAGTCCTCATCCTCCATGTGGGACCAGGGACCGACGGCGCGCAAACGGCGCGTCACAAGCCTGCGTCCCGGTGCGGGCATGCGCGGCGGCGCCCCCCTCCACACGGAGCGCGACTACGCGCATGCGCGTTGTACTCAGGGCGGTCGCCTCCGTGCTGCCGCGCATGCGCAACAGCAGAGCCGCGGCCGGTGACGCGGCCGCGCTCCCGCCCGGCTCGGGGCTCTGCGCGGGCCGTCTGGTAGCCGGCCGGTAACGGTGCATTTCGCCTCGCTCGGGGGAGTCCGGGAGCTGGCGGTAGCGTCTTTATGATCTGCTAGCTCCTCCGTTGCCTTAGGAAAAAGAGTGCCGGATCTGCTCCTGACCGCACGCACTACCGGCGGAGGCTGCGGCATGAGGGCTGCCTTGGGAGGCAGAAGGCAGTGCTGCAGAGCTTTCGTGAGGGGCTTTATTTCACGTCTGACTTTTCCTTGGAAAGTCTCACGTGGAGTAGCTGTGCGTCATCATCAAATAAAATTAAGCTAAAATCTGAGCGTAAGCTTCTTCTGTCTTGGGTATTCTGAGGCAATGTACACGTATGTGACATTTATGGGTGCTTCAGCTGTTGGAAACTCCACAGCTTTTTGTAGACCACAGGTTTAGTAAATAGGTAGAATAGTCTTTTCCGTCACTTGCTGCCAGAAGATTTAAATATAATCATGCTGGGGGAAGGTGAGGCACAAAAGTGATTTGCCTGATGTATTCCTATGATGTTAAAAACTCAGGTGTGGTGCTCCGGTCTGTATGTGAAGTAACACAGGTCTGAGCACAGACTAAAGGAGCATGTTTTTCTTAACCTCGTCTGTGTCTTTGTACAAGAGTAAATGCACTTAGTATTCATCCTTGAATCCTCTAATATCTGTATAGGTTAAAACACTTGTCAGGATGATGTTTTTGATGGAGAAGAAGCATAGCTGGCAGGAATCAGTTGCGGAGTTTCTCTTGCCTTACCCATGGAAGGCACTGAATCCTGTCCATTCACTATTGGGGTAAATATGCAGCTTGTAGAGTCGGGACCAATACATGGTGTGATGCATCTTTCTGCATTTTACTCTCACGTGACATACTGTGTTTTAAAGGAAAAACTCAGTCTAAACTGTAGTTGGAGCTTTTAAAGTAAATTCCAAGTATGTTTCTTCTCGCCTGAATCTGCTCTGTTTCTCAGCTCTATCATAAAGGGACTGATTAAGAAAAATCTCACAGATTTTTGCCCTGAGAATGCTGTGGAAAGGAAGAATAGTCAGACAGGTTGGGAACTGACCTGGTAGCATGACAGAGCATATAGAAGCCTGTAAATCGCCTTTCAAAAATCAAGCTAGTAGCAATACTGACACTTCATTTACATGTCAGTGAGACATCTGGTTCTGGGGAAAAAAAGAGGTGATGAGACTTGTCCTGGCTCTTCGGGCAGTTCTGCTTTTCATTAGTTCACATGACACAGCTCGTTATGTTTCTTTTGAATAAAATCAGGCAAAATAAATAATGTGGATTTTGAGTTTCCTTTTGGTTTCTTCAAAGTTTATATATAAACAGTAGAATTTTGCTGTATTAGCTCTCCTTGAATTTCTGTTGAACTGTGACATAAGGCCTACTTTATGAAACTAAATGCAAAACCTTTATATTTTGTTGTGGTGGCAGCTAAAATGAACGTAGTAAACCAAAAACTGGGTGGCACAGTTGGAGTGTTTTATTCTAAGACACTTGTAGACCAAATAAACACTATCAGAAAGCAGTAAAGTGCTGATAGATTCCAGGAAGTCATATTTAACTGCGAGTTGAAGTGGTTTTGGCTGCAACTGAAATAAGGTAATGCCTTTGCAAGTACTGAAGATCTCAGCAAAAGCTGAGCAGTTTGTTTCAGACTGGTTTAGACAGTGGTAAAAAGTGTTCGTTCAGGCTGTTACTCTTTGAGGAGAATTAGGGAATAGGACTGTAAGAGCCATGAGAATGAGGAAGAGTACGCACTGAGGAGTGTTGTGAAAGATTGCAAGTTATTAATATGTGATACAGTAGCAGTGGGAGCCTGATGTGATTGAAACAACAGGGAAAGAAGATCATTGGCATTTCAGTATTGCATAGGATATAACAGTTTCTGTAGAAGATTTTCCCAAGGTATTCATAGTCTGTATATTCAGTTCATAGTCAGTGTTCCAGAGGAGTGAGTCCCAGACAAAATCTGATGCCAGGCCTGTGGGTGGACATCAATCTGCAAAACCACAAAGAAATAGAAATTAAAACCAATTTGTGATCAATTCAGTAGGTGCTGAACAGTCCCATGCATATCTCAAGATATACAGTGGTAAGTAAGGACATAACTTCAAAGTGATTTGCATACTCCCCTAGATACACTTAGTTTTTTCTTACCTGTGGTCAGTGGTTATGTATTTCTGTTCAACTCTCTCTTATTTTCTTCTCTGTATTTAGATTGACTTCTTCTCATGACAACTGGTATACTGTCACATCAGTGTCGACACACAGAAAATAAACAGATAAACAGGATTTGAAAGCCTTATGGGAATACATTTCTGCTTGAGCAATACTGGCCCAGATCTTGCAAATACTGTGATAGATTTCTGACATAAAACATGGATAGTCAGTGTCACCAGCACATGCTTGCAGAAGCCTGACCTGACCCGGCTGTGATCCTGTCAGCTTTTAGCTGCTGCTTTTCAGCGAGGTTCTGTACTGAGGTACAGTTCTGCCCACATGGAGCTGCAAAGAGGGCTTTGATTTTTTAATATAAACTGCCTTAAAAAATGAAACTGTTGGAATTTTTTGGTGTGTGAAGAATATATCATTCACATACTGTGCATGAAGACAAAAGTTTTAAAAACACCGGCATTCCCTTAGTCAGTACCTTTACTTCTTAGCATTCCTGTTTTTTGTGACTTGTGCACAGTGTGCTGTTAGGTTGCAACGTGTTTTAATGAAACTGAGAACATTTGAATAAAGGTACATGTTATAGCCCAAATTTAAATATCAACAAACAACCTAGCAAGTTGCCTAAGTGGATCATGGTTAAAAAGAAAAAATTTATCAGTGTTGCTTCCACTCAGGTTTTGTTTCCCGTGAATGCGAGCAAAGAAAACTTTCTGTTTTGAGAAACTTTGTATTGAGAATCCAGTCGGGAATATTTTTATTTCTCCAGAATATTTGCACAGATGGATGGAAAAAGAAGGCACACAGCTTTTTGCTTTCTTTCTAGAATCAGCTGTTTCATTAAAACAACAACAACAACAACAACAAACCAGCTGCAGAATTGTCTAAATTCCCTCTGTCCTGTTTCACCAACACAGAAATGAAACTTCAATTACACTTTTTTTTTTTTTTTTTTTTTTTATAAAGGTTCAGAATTTCTTTGCCAATCTATTGCAGACATCAGTAGAAGGAAAGTTCACATATTTCCTGCGTTTAATCCTGCTAAGCATTATCGGATGCAATTGAGATTTATGTCACTGTGAGCACTGCACATGACTACATCGCAGCTTCCCTTAGCAGGAAAGCATCCAGTTGCTCTGGCTTCATTAGCCAGTGGTGCTGTAAGAGGTGCTATATTAACAAACACTGTCAGGCATAGTCTTCTGCTGGCACATACTGAGGTAATAACAGTTTTCCTGTTGGTGCAAACTTCCATGTACTCATAAGCTGTTCAGGTAGCAGTTGCTCATTACTGCCTGTGTATTTTGTTGAGGATGCAGATTTATAAAGGACACTGAGAAAACAGGGCAACAAAGGTATATGCTCTGCAGATAACAAGGGACGCTTAGAGGTTCAGCAGGGCTTCATCATTCCTGACTATCCTGGGCCACAAAGTTATGTTTAATGGTAGGCATGGCCCTGTAATACTGTCATGCAATAGGATGCTTTTCTGGGTATGACTGGCAATAGACAATTGACTGCAATTCAATTTTGAGGGAAAAAAGGTGCTTGGAAATGTGCATAATTACAGAAAAAGCCCCCAGAAGATGGTGTATAGACATGCTGATTGCTGTCTTTTCCAGCATTTCCCAGACCCCAGTTTTCCAACTCTCAAAATGATGCATAGCAGTAGCAGTCCTGCCTGGCAGCACACACCCAAGCCACCCTTCTGTTCTATGAGGCTGAGTCTGCAGCTCCTCACCCTGCCCAGCCACACCAACCAACCAGCAGCACTGCCCCACCACCTTCAGGTCAGGCTGCAGCAGTAAAAAGAAAACACAGACCATTGGAAAATGCAGTGGGATCAGAGGGATTAATGCCTTTATGTCTTTTTGGAGGGCTGAAATGTGCATGTGGGAGAAAGCGATCATTAGGACCACGGTTTGAGACGTATGTGGAAGGTGGGGAATAGGAAATAAATAGAGAATGAAAGCATGGTTTCTACTGCACTGTATGCAAGACCCCCCAACAGCTGCTGCCATCCAAGCAAGCCAGATCTGGGAAACTGTGATGTGTTCCAAGATGCTTTATTTTCTTTGCTTTATTTTGATTGTGTGTTTTTTGTTTGTTTGTCCCCTGATTGTTGGTTTTGTGTGTGGGGGGGGGGGGGGTTGTTTGTTTGTTTTTTATTTTTTCTGCTTTCACTGGCACTTGGTTTGATGACCCTTTTTTTTATCTCTTGATTGGAAAGATTGGAAAATACCTATTTGTGTGATTGTATACAGTAAGTTTGTTAGTTCACAGAATCATGGAATGGCTTGTGATGGAAGGGACCTCAAAGATCATCTAGTTACAATCCCCAGCCATGGGCAGTTTGCCATCCTCCAGATGTGGCTGCCCAAGGGTCCATCCAACCTGGCCTTGAGCACCAGCACGGATTGGACATCCACAGCTTCTCTGGGAAATCTGTTCATGTGATTCATCACTGACCCTTGTCATAACTAACATAAATCTCCCCTCTAAGTTTAAAACCACTTCTCCTTGTCCTGTCGTTATCTGCATGTGTAAAAAGTCAGTCTCCCTCTTATTTATAATCTCCCTTTTAAGTACCAGAAGGCTGCAGGGAGGTCTCCCACCTCCTTGTTTTCTCCAGACTGAACAAGCCCAACTTCCTTAGCCTGTCCTCATAGGAGAGGTGCTCCATCCCTCTGATCATCTTTGTAGTTCTCCTCTGCACCCATTTGAAAAGTTCCACAGTTTTCCTATGCTGGGGGCCCCCAACCTGAATGCAATACTTTGGATGGGGACTCATGAGGGCAGAGAGGAGGCAGACATTCCCTCCCTGTCCCTGTTGGCCACCCTCTTTTGGTGGGCCCAGGATACTGTTGGCCTTCTGGACTGCAGGTGCACGTTGCTGACTCATATTCAACTGTTCATTCCACCAGAACCCCAAGAACTTCTCTGCAGGAGTGTTCTTAGTGAATTCTTCTCCCAGTCGGTATAGGTACCTGGAACTGTTCCACACGTGATTAGCCTTGTTGAATCTCAGTTCAGTACATGTGGGCCCACTTTTCAAGCTTATTCAGTTCTCTCTGGATGGCATCCCTTCCTTCTGTTGTATCAACAGCACCACTCAGCCCAAGTCATTTATAAAGATGTTGAGGAGCACTGGCCCCAGTGCAGATCCCTGGAGAACCCCTTAGTTGCAGGAATTCAAACAACAGTAGTGCCTAATAAGCTGAAGCAGTAGTATTGACAAGATTGGATCTGATGGTTTAAAACAAACAAACAAACAAACAAACAAAAAAAAAAAATCAGTCTATCTCATATGATGGTAACTCAGTGAGTTAAAAACGTGTAAACTTTCCTGATGGAAAAGTTTTTTTGTTTTTTTTTCCCCCCAAAAAAGCAATAGTATGCTAAAATAACAGATGAAAAAGAATACTTTATGACTTTTGCTGCTCAAAATTCTGAAGTAGGCTGCTGGTAATTCAGTTCATCACGAAAGCTTTTGATAATCTAAGTATTTGGTCTGCAGCTGCTGATAGCAGTCCTGGAAACCTTAGTTTCATGTGTCTCCTCAGGTGTTCTTTTTTCTGCATGAGATAAAACATTTTTGAATTACCTTTTTGTCTTTCTTTATCAAAAATGTGGGAAACTGCAAAATAGTTTCATAATTCATAAATAGGTGTATTTGTGAGATTGATATGTTTACTGAGGCTACCTCATTTTCTGTTGCCAAATTTAGCAGGTACCACATGAGCTGTTAAGACGAAGCATCAAAATTGAGGTAGTGATTTCTTCCTGAGTAGTTAGCAGTTCTGGAGATACAGCTAGAAACACAAACATCTTTGCGTTTTCAAACAAACGCAACACCCCAAACCCAATTAACCACAGGCATCAGTGAAGAAAGAACGGGAAATCCAATCCCTTTCATTCTGTCTACAGTGAATAGAAAGACAGATGTGAAACATATTTAATGCCCAGACTGTTGTCTTACTGTCTAGAGCCAGACAAGGCATGAAATGGTTAAAGGAGCTACCTCCTTGTTTTTCATTCCTTTTCTCCTCCTTCACTTGTGAGCTGCTAGAGACAGAGGCACGGTTAGAAAACGTGTAGTTTCATGGAAGCTTTTGTAAGTAAACAATTATAAAGATGATCATGTTTTTCAGAAGCAATATTTTGAGAAACGGGAAACCTGGTTTCTGTGTCATTAGCTCTTCTAATGACAGATTATCTATAATGCTACCAGAAAGCAATTGCGTATGATAGCAATGACCTTGTACTAGTGAAAAATTGCACAGTGAAATTTTTCTTCCACTGTTCCTTCTTTTACACAGGAGATAGAATGATGCTGACCTGAGAGAGACCTTCTTAACCTCTGTGAAGAATACGTAAGAAATGTCTCTTGCCTGTCCTGCAGTGGGTCTGGACAGTAAAGAAAAACAATAAACTAGTGTTTATTTCCTGTCATCCTAAGGAGAGAGTGGTTTATATTGCTCTCCAAGCTAAAATTCTAAAAAGCAAACAGGAGGAAAGAAGGCCGGTCTTCTGTACACCAGTTTTACATAGGATCAAAGGGAGTCTTTGGGAGAGGGCACAGTGCTGAATTAAGTACTCCAGTTGATTTCAGATGTATAGCTTTCAGCAGTGCTGAGGCCCCTGACTCCCAACTACTATAGGTAAGAAATGCATCCCAAGTGCTCCAGGAAACATCAAACATTGTTTTGTTTCAACTGTGTGTGCCAAGCTGCATCAAATTAGGCTTTCAAAAATGAATGCATCCATTAAAATAGCAAGGGTTTATTAAAAAATGCTTCATTGTTCTTGTTTTTCCACAGGCAGATTGCCCTGGCCTGTCCAAGAGCAGGCGGCACATTTGGATGTTCTTTGCATGTCAGTAATACATCTACTAAAGCTGCAGGTGGGCTGTGCACTGGGAAGAGCTCTGAAGGTGGGGATCAAGTTCCGGGAGTGGGAAGTGCAAAGAATAAGTAAGGCAGTACAAAGCACTATCTTGCCACGTCTAGTATCTCTGGCGCCCAAGTTTTCTTGAGACCAATACGCCAGATCCTAGCTATCAGTGATTTGTAACCGAGTGATAGCTAAGTTCAAATTAACAGTAAGTGTCGTTAGCTTTATCTTGGTGACGTAAATAAAGGATAGGTGTGGTAGGTAAGTTCTCTCCAAAAAGGTTGCTAGTTTATTCTTCCCACTGCAATCCTCTTCCAATTAGTACCAGCCTAGTAATAGGTAGTTTGGTAGTTTCAATAGTTTGGTAATAAGTAGTTTGGTAGTTTCAATATTTTCTTTCTCAGTTTTCAGACTTGTCTCTGAGATCTCATTCTTCTATAGATCCTTTTCTGTTTTTGTTTTTGTTTTTCTTACTAAGGCATCTATTTTTGTTTCCACTCTCAATTTTTAATATTTATTTCTGCTAAATCTTTCAGCTCTTCTGTGTTTCTCTGCTTCTGCAAGGACATGTAGCCAGTGCTCTTTGAAGACCATCTGTCATCTGGGTTGACATTCATATCTACATACAATTGTACTAATAGCGCTCTAACAGGTGGTGAATCTTGAAAAGATAACTGATTTTGCACCAAGGCTGAGAGGAACACACCAGCAAGGAGACATCACTTTGCAACAGAACCACAAGATACTTACCAAAAACGGCCCTTTAAAAGCTCAGCTGCAAGTGAAGTTGAAGCATACAGTAGCGCAGCCTGCCAAACTTGACTGGTATGCGGTGTTGGTATGTGTGGGTTTTCCTTCTGCAATCAATTACTTTAATGGTAAGAAGTCATATTCATGGTGCATGTGTGTATTGGCAAAACACCACCCCAGATAAAGAACTGGCATCTATTTACATCATAAGTCTTGGCTTCGCAGGCTGCAAATTCACGCTGTACGTCGGTCCTTGCAGGAGGGGCTACACCTGCTGCTGGCAGCACGCACATGCCCACAACCAGGTACCGACTGTAACGCACCTCGCTAAGACTGCCTGCCCAAACCTTACACCCACGTGCCAGGCGATGGAGAAGCGATCTCGGTTACTCCCACGACCATGAAGGGCAGATGAGTGTGTGGGCGCGTGACACCAACACCGCGGTACCCAGACGGGGTCGGTCCGCGGATGCGCGATGGGGTCTGTAGCCGCCTTCCTCCGCAGGTGCCTCCCCTCCTTGTTGCGCTCGCTCAGATCCGCGCTTTCCCTCTGAATCCTCCAAAGGGTCCTGGATCGGGCAGGGGGTGCCGGGCGCGGAGCGGGGCGCGGCAGGTCGGAGCCGGCGGCGCGGGCGACTGAGCCCTTCCACCTCTCTCGATTTCGGCGAGGAAGGTGAAACGCGGAAGTTCCCAGGCGAAGCTGTCAGACGGCCGCCGGCTTTGTAGCCCGCAGCGTGCAGCACCACTAAAAGCACCGAGGCAGGCACCCTGCCGTGCGCGCACTCGACTCCTGCGCCCTCCGCATGGCGACTTTACCCGCCGCTGACCGGAGGGCGTTTGCCCTGAAAATCAACAGGTGAGAAGCGTCCGCAGGGCTGCACGGGCAAGC